TGAGTGGTTGCCCAGATGGGACCTCCTCCCGATGCCGAAGGCCTGCTCGGTATGCTTGAAAACCCTCAATTCGTATCCACCATGAACGAAGCTTTGCAGAATCCCGCGGTGATCGACATGATGATCCAACAAAATCCCATGTTGCGCGACATGGGCCCCGGAGTGCGACAGATGATGCAGAGCCCCGAGTTCCGTCGAATGCTTACGGATCCTAGCAACCTCCGCCACGCGATGCAGATGCAAAGAGCCATGGGCGGTGCTGGAGGACTTGGTGGTGGTAGCGCATTCCCGGCCCCCGGTGTAACCAACACGACGCCGGAGGAAAACCGGGACGCTCAGAACAACAATGAAACTGGTGCTGCAGCGACGCCGGGTGTCTCGCCATTGAACCCTTTCATGCCTCCGGGTCTGGGTGCCGGCAACCCCTTCGCCGCGCTTTTTGGCAACCCCATGGGCGCAAACCCATCTAATCCCGCTGGCGATGGCCAACCAGGCGCCACTCAGGCGGGAAGCGAGGGTGCCGCTGGAACCACTGGTGGGGATGGTCAGAATCAACAAGCCGCGCAGAATCCTTTCGGTCTCTTCAACCCTGCGCTGTTCGGGCAACAGGCTGCCGGCCAGGCTGGTCAAAATCCTTTCAACCCACAACAGAACCCGTTTCTTCGCGATCCGGCTCTCTTCCAGCAGATGATGCAAGCAATGGGCGGACCTTCAGGCGACGGTGGTGCCGGTGCCGGTGCCGGTGTGAATCCTTTCGCATCTCTCTTCGGAGGCGGTGGCTTTGGAAGCCCAGCACCCCCAGACAACCGACCGCCCGAGGAACGATATGCCGAGCAACTCCGACAGCTGAACGACATGGGCTTCTTTGAATTCGAGAGAAACATCGAGGCTCTCCGTCGGTCTGGCGGCAGCGTGCAAGGTGCGGTGGAATATTTGCTCGGCAACCCATCATAAATTTTCCCCCCTTAATTCCAGCGAGCGCGCTTCTCTTCTTGCCATTTAAGTCGTGTGCGGAAAACGATAGGCTACTTGTTTTTGTTCTTTATTTTTTTTTCTTGGCGGATCTTACTTCTGACTACCACAGGATGTGAATAGGAGAATTATTTGGAGGAAAGATTGCATATTTTATAGCTTCACCCATGGCAGTGATATCATTACCATTCTTGTCCTGCTAGGTAATTCGGTCACGGTTAATGAAAGACGATGAATGCATGACGATCGATCGTAGCCGTAGGACAGAGTAATGATCAGGTGAGGCTTGGCACAGCGTCTGGAATGCCGCTTGACCGCGTTCGGCCTCCGCGGGTCTTCAGGCCGATCGACTGTTACGGAGTCGACACTCTTTCTCCCTCTTCTCTACTCCGGACTATCACCACCCTTTCTCTTCTGACAACCTTTCCTTCCATTTATCTAGCGATCATTTACTCTTACTCCCCCTTTTCATCTTTTGAAAGCATTTGGCTGGCTTACTCACTCGTTAAATCGCCCTAGGCTCACTCCCCTTCGGAATTTCTCTTCTCCGTCGCATCTCAGTGTCCACTTCCTGCCCCTGCAACGGCTCTTACTGTTTCATTGCGTGTCGTGAGTTGGATTAATCCTCGGTGCTATTTTTATCTGGACGTACCTTCTCTCTCCCTCTACACTTCCTCTTTCTCTCGCGAATCTAGCTCTGGAGGAACACTAGTGCCGATAAATCTACTTAATTGATCTACATCCGTGCTTCTTCGTACCCGCCACGTACGATTCATTCCACCTACAGAAACAGTGCATGTCGACGTGCCAGTCTTAGCACCTGGTGTGGGCTCGTCTTCCCTCCCCCTTTTCGCTTCGTAGATGATGGCGCTGGGATGGTTTAGGGGCCCTCGTCAATGGGCACTCTGGCTGCTGTTTGCTTCCTACGCCTGTGCCTTTTACATTCCCGGTAAGTTGTTGCGATTTGGTGAACAAGACAGGCCCTTGGCTGATGAGCTTTGCTTTCTGCTGCTCCCAATAGGCTATTCCGTCAAACGGTATAACGACGACGAACCGATCCCTCTTCAGGTGAACAAGATTTTTTCCGACCACACCCAGCTCCAGTATGCCTACTTCAACCTGCCATTCGTCTGCCCTCCTAGTGGGAGAACACATGGCGGCTCCCCGTTTGGCTCGGGCCAGAGCGTGTCGTTGAACCTTGGAGAAATCCTTCGCGGCGACCGGATCATGACCTCCGACTTCGAACTCCGGATGGGCAAGAACGTGGAATGTCAGGCGCTCTGCACTCAGGAAGTCGGGCGCAACGACGTCAAATGGGCCCGACAACTTATCAGGGAGGGCTACGTGGCCGAATGGATCGCAGACAACTTGCCTGGCGCAACAAAGTTTGTCACTGTCGACCGCAGCCGCAAATACTACGCCACCGGCTTCAAGTTGGGCTTCGAGGATTTTTCGCCCGTCGACGGGAAAAAACGGACTTACATCAACAACCACTTCACGATTGTGATTCGCTGGCGGTCATCCCCTGAAGGTGGTAAATACGTGAATGGCTTCGAGATCTATCCGAAGAGTATCCGGGCGCAGGACCATGGAGAAACCGGCTGTCCCCAACAGGTGCACGAGCACCACGACGGCTTGGAGCTGTATATCCCCCCCAACACGGCCAAATTGAAGGAGATGTACCCCGGGTCGTCATATATCCCTGAGGATGATGGCGACGAGGATGGAGCCACTCTCAAGATCCCGTTTACATACTCGGTCTACTTCAAGGAGGAGAATGGTGTCGACTGGTCCAACCGGTGGGATCTGTATTTCAGCAACCAGGATGAGGGCTCGATGACGCATTGGCTCGCGATCCTCAACTCGCTGACCATCTCCGGCGTTCTTGCGGTAGCCGTCTACGTCATCTGGAGCCGGACGGTACAAGGAGATATCAAGGGCCGTGGAGACGGGGCGATCGACGAGACTAAATTGAAGGCGCGCAATGCTGCCCGAATGAAGACCATCGAAAGGACCGGCGACGAGCAAGGCGACGACGTCGAGCGGGATGCCGAGCTTTCATCCGACGACGAGGGTCTCGAGGATGTCAGTGGATGGAAGCTTCTTCATGCCGATGTCTTCCGGACGCCCGAGTACAGCGGACTTCTTGCGCCTCTTGTCGGCTCGGGCACACAGCTTCTTTTCATGGCAACAGGACTCTTGTTCCTCAGTTGCCTCGGAGTCCTCAACCCCAGCTTCCGCGGCGGGTTCGTCAGCGTCGGCATGGGCCTGTTTGTTTTTGCCGGTCTGTTCTCAGGCTACTTCTCCGGACGGCTGTACAAGACGTTTGGCGGTGTGAACTGGAGAAAGAACACGTTGATCGTAAGTAGGCACCGTCATCTATCCCGTAACCCAATGACTGACATAGCAGACTGCTCTTTTCTTCCCCGGACTGGCATTCTGCCTCATTTTCATCCTGAACCTGTTCGTGTGGGCTCAGGCATCCAGCACGGCGATCCCGTTCGGCACGCTGATCGGCCTCCTTGCGCTGTGGCTGCTCATCCAAGTCCCGTTGGTGTATGCGGGTAGCTGGTTCGGCTTCGTCCGGACGACCGCATGGGAGCATCCGACCAAGACCACGTCGATCCCTCGCCAGATTCCCCCGCAGCCGTGGTACCTGCACAGCATCCAGGGGTCATTCCTGACCGGACTGGCTCCATTTGCAGTCCTGTTCATCGAGCTTCTGTTCGTGTTCAAGAACCTGTGGCAAGACAAGAGCGGATACTACTACGTGTTTGGATTCCTGAGCGCGGTATCAAGCGTCCTGATCGTCACAGTCAGCGAGGTGACCATCATCGCGACGTACAGCCAGCTCTGCGCCGAGGTATGTTGCACAGAATTGCTACGGAATCGTCAGATCGGAGGCTAATTGCAATAGAACTACCACTGGTGGTGGCAGAGTTTCCTGACTGGCGGCAGCAGCGCCTTCTGGGTGTTTGCCTACTGCATCTGGTACTACGTCTTCCACTTACACATCACCGGATTTGTATCGAGTCTACTCTTCTTCAGTTACAGTTTCCTAGCCTGTGCCGTGTACGGGTTATTAACAGGAACGGTCGGGTTTTTGACAGCGTATACATTCATCCGACGAATTTACAGGTAAGCAGTCTTCCCTTCCAAGCGACTAAGTTGAATACAAGCTAATTCTCGCCCCGACAGCGCTGTTAAAGTCGATTGACCGGCACCGTGCATCTGCATCTCCATTCCTTAACTGGCTTCCTACCTCCCAATCCATTTCATTCCAAGTAAACCGCCAGGCTAGTGCCAGCAGCAGAGCTCAAGGCAGGGCCTGTCCTGTATCTTATATATCAGCAGTTAGCGATTTGTCAATCTATCCATGCATCATCCACCCATTTATCAGAAGACCGTAATTGTAAATCACATAGACCAAAAAGAAAAAAAGTAGAAAACTAAACGCCAAGATGAAGCCATCCACCACCCAAACCGGAACCCGAGCAATCAAGCAAAGCAGGTAAGCAGGTAAGCAGGTAGGCAGGTAGATAGATAGGTACCTAAGGCAGGTAGGTATGAAGATGACGATACCCCAATCCACCAATAACGACCGACCAAGTCATGAGCAGGGGGCTTGGTCACGACCAACACAAACACCGTCATGGAGCGTCAACCCACCTATCCAAGTCGATGAGAGGTGGCATTTACCCCGCGGTGAATTTTGTTGACTTGACTGTGAAGGAGTTCGGGGAGTAGATATTCTATGTCTTATTTACTTGCCTACTTCGAGTCTGGCATTCAGTGGGGGATGGAAGCACGACTTATCTACCTACCTATCTACTCTGCAACCTCCAGGCGGAGGTACATATACATGTACATACCTAGGTTAGGGAGAGGAAGAACAGAGCGATATCACTCTGCCTCGCTCACACACCTACCTACCTGATTCTCTCCTCTCCTCTCCCCCCATCTCCAACCTACGTTACTATACGACCTACCCTACCTTCCAACCAACCACGAAGAAAAGAAAAGGAAAAATGAGCGACATATCCACCGCCCCAACCCTCATCCCCCCCGACACAACAACAACAACAGCGCACCTCGCAACGAAAGAACTCCAAACGCTCCACTCCCTCCAAGCGCTGCACTCAATCCAATCAACCCTCAACCATGACGGCCCCCCTCCCTCCAGGTTCGAAGAAGACCCCGATGATCTCAGCTACACAGCCACAAACATCGACATCCTCCTCCGCCAAGCCCAAAGCATGATAACAACACTAATGGCCGAGAAGCGCGGCAGCCGCCGACGGATCCGAAGCCTCGAAGAAGAACTCCAAGTCCAGCGACAGAAGCTAGAGGCACGGGATACGGAATCCAGAACGCACGACGAGGAGATACGTCAGAAGATAAAGGAGTCCGAGACCAGGGTAGTAAACGGAGAAGAGCGGGTTAAGAAACTAGAAACGGAGATGAAGGGACAAGAGCAGAAGATCAAAAAAGCAGAGACGACGAGCAAGGAGCGAGAAGAACGGGTGAAAGCGCTCGAAGGCGAGGTGAAGCGGCACGCGGAGAAAGTGAAGGGGTTGGAACGGGATTTGAAAGCGAAAGGGACCCTGGTGCAGGAGTTGACGGCGAAGTTGAATAAGCGGAAGGCGGACGCGAAGGAACAGTCCGGGAAATTGGCCAAGGTTATGGCGGCGAACGAGGAGCTACGGGGGGCGTTGGGGACGGTGAGGAAGAGGGCGGAGAATGCGACGCAGCGGGTGCAGGAGGTCGAGGAGCAGGTGAAGTCGGAGAGGAGGCGCAGACGGAAAGCTGAGAAGGAGGTCAAGGGGGTGGAGGAGGATGCTCATGGTGGACAGGGACATGGGCATGGGCATGGACATGGAGGAGGGAAGGTGTATGGGGTGCAGAGGAGCAAGACGTCGGTGATCTCTCGCATGTTTCGGGGCGTTTGATTGGGACTGATTGGGGCATTTGCATTTATATCTGGTGATTTTTGTTTCCTTCATTTCTTTATCCCTTTTTCTTTCTTATCTTATCCTTTCCTGTTCTCTTCAGCCAGAATGCATGCAGATTGCCAGAAAAGCAAGAGAAAGTGGAACCGGCATCCGCCCCTTGATGGCGTGCTCGGAGGCCTCGATGTCGTTTTCTCCATTCCCCATATTTTGCTAAGCCTTGATCCCTCTGAAATGTCATCAATCGCCTTTCTATGAGTTCATAATTAGTTATGTGAGGTCGATGCAAGGGAATAACCGGTCACGGAGTACTCGGTGTAGGTAATTGAGTGAACATATGAATCTACTGAGCAGAGTATACTCTAGGGCAACATGTCAGGGGTGATCTACTCGGTGCACGGTGTACTCCGTATGCTGCGTCGTAGACAGCTACGTAAGCTTATTCCTCCACGGAGTACCTCATGTCTCCAGTCATCTTGAGATAATAATAATAATAATAATAATAATAATAATTCATTAGCGATCCAACCATTATCTATAGACATATAAACAAGGAATACCTCCCTCCAAACCAAGGAAATCCCGGAAACCTCCATGCAGCTCAAAGCTTAACCGAGGCCGTGGTAATACCACTGTCCATCTGTTCAACAAAATTAGATGCAGTGAATAATCCATCCCAAATTCCGTCGATCTTCCAGAAGACCATGAGGCATGATGTGATCGCGGGTGGAGATGATGCCATCGACCCGCCGCAGCGGACGGGCAAATCAGCATGCACCAACCCTCTCAGCGTGCGTCACTGGGGGGAAAGTCTGCGTCGGGTGGCTGGTTTAGTTGGTTTAGTTGCGATCATTCACAGAGGTTTGGTTGACTAGCGGGTGTGGTGGAAAGGCTTAGCTTTCGCTTTCATGGCCGTTGGACGGTGGGTTGGGTTACATAGTGTCACTATGTATATCTGTGGGTGTTGCCTGTCTAGTAGTTATAGACGGTTGATAGCCTCAACAATCTTACACCGTAGTCCGGTCAGCTGACCTGGGTGTTTCTTCTTTCGTTCTTGCAGAGTGACTGGTGGGTTTCCTTTTGTACAGAGTACCGGGCGAAGAATGCGACTCGAGCATGTGGTTGATTACTGCGCGGTGATTCGATGGTGTTTGACTGTCGGAGCAACGGAGCGGAGGATTCTCGAGATTCTGCTATGTCATAGTCCCGAATCTTGCATCCACCGATCTCGACGGAGTATGTAATAAGTATAGAACACATCCACAGCCAAGCCAATACTGCAGAAATCCTACGATCAATTACAGATACATAACCGAGTGACTCGCAACCAAGAACATTCAGCCAGCCATGTCCTCCAAGTTCCAACCGTCATATCCACCCCCCACCGTAGGCCACTAACCGAAAAAACAAAGAAAAAGAACGACTCATCGGAGCCGCTCCCCTCGTTCCCCGAGTTTCAAACCGCCGTACGGATCATGTGAGAAAGAAGAGCGGTCTGGAGTCCAGGTAGAGTCCAGATTCTGGATTTTCGCGGGGTCAGTTTCATCATCCCCTCTTCGTCAGCACGATCAGCCGCTGTCAATCCCCATGTGATTGCGCGTCCGGCGGGAGCGCTGATTGATATGCGGCGACCTGATTCAGACTGGACTGATCAGATACGGTGTACTGTACACACGGCACAGTCTTGTTTAGCGAGAGCGAGGGATCAGCCCCCGCTGGCGGATTTGCATCCGACTCGCAGACGTGGAGACCGATAGTGGCAACCGGCAAGACATTTCAGGTCTGTCTAGTGCACCTAAGGTACATAGTGTGTATGTACATGTCGAAAAAGCCGACGAACAAAGATACGATTGGCAATGGGACATGCGATAAGCCCGAAACCGGCTAAATGAACCAATGGGAGGCAGCACGGGAGATGAATGGACTTTTTGAAATCTCGGCATGAGTAACAGTAAGTTACTGGGAACGAGTAACGTTGTACTGTTGGCGCAGAGGACAGGAATTTCGGCGAACGATGCCAAGAGAAAGGGAGGGGGGTGACCTGTTCATAAAGGTGTCTGTGCTCAGTGGTTCTGGTTCTACAATTGATTTCATTCTCTACACACATATTCTATGGATGCCCGGGAGTAAAGAAGAAAAGCCAAATCCATTAAAGAGAAAAAAAGAAATTTTGACTCACCGACAGTCCAATCAGACGGCGTGGCGAGCCACCCCCCAGCCCCGTGATCCGAGCGGACCCTGGTCGGAACCGGCCGGGGGAGGGGGGTCGGGAGCCAATCCCCTTGAGAGAAAATGCCAAGAGGGCCAAGATTCGACCGGCCGGAAACCGAAGGGGACTAGCGCCAGAGTCCGGTGATCACGAATTTCCGGAGTTGGACGGACGATGCAAGGATCAGCTGCCTAAGGGGAACTATACTTTATTGTCAACTGGAACTATGAACTAGTAGTTGACAAGGACTCGAAACTGGGATGTTGGGGTAGGTGTGTGCGACTCTGTGTTTGAGGGCACGCGAGTTCAAGGAGAACCTGTACAGGCGTTAGGCGTTAGGATGACTCCCGGTGGCCAATGACCGCCGGACGTGGCAATCCTTCGCCTCTCGTGCCCCTCCGCATTTCGTTGCTGCTCCGGGCAATTTCACCCGGAAAGCCATGCCTAAGTCACAGGTACGGGCATTAGATAATATCGAGTAGAGATTTACTGCTAGTGGTCTCTGGCAGAAATAAGAGTCAGAGTCCAGCAGGTAATAGGTATGGGGAAGGGAGGAGGGCGCCCTCCTGAAGATCCCCCCGGGTTGCAGCTGCGTGGGTAATCCCTAATCACACCATCGACTCCGCCGATGGTTCCATCCCGTAGCCGTGACATCTGGTCGATCTATATGGCTCGCCTTGGCATTTTTTTCCCTTTTCCTTTTCATTTTTTTTTTTTTTTCGCCTGTTTTCTTTTCCTCATTTCTTTTATCTTCCGCCCATTTTTTTTCTCTGGAAGGAATCCACCCCGTTGAGCTTACTTATATCCTCGCCTTCCCCTGGCCTTTTCCGCCTTTCTTTTCCTCCTTTTACTTTCAACTCTCGGTCTCGTGCTTCTCCCTCACACTCCTGCACCATCTTCTTCCCTTGCTGTGCCTTCCCCGCCACCCCGCTGTGATCTATCTACTGTATATTCCTATTTCTCGTGACATTTTCCTTTCGTAACCTCCCCGGAGTGCACTCGATCTCTATCTCTGTGTGCCCGCGGTCTTGTGCCCTATCTGCCCGTGATGGCCACCAAGAAACCCAACATTCTCTACATCATGGCCGACCAGATGGCCGCGCCCCTTCTGGCCTTCCATGACAAAACCTCCAAAATCAAGACCCCCAACCTGGACCGCCTGGCTGAGGAGGGTGTCGTCTTTGACTCAGCTTACTGCAACTCGCCCCTATGTGCTCCCTCGCGCTTTGTGATGGTGACGGGTCAATTGCCCTCTAAGATCGGTGCCTATGATAACGCCTCCGACCTGCCGGGCGACACTCCCACCTACGCGCACTACCTGCGTCGCGAGGGCTACCACACGGCGCTGGCAGGGAAGATGCACTTCTGCGGCCCTGACCAGCTGCACGGTTATGAACAGCGCCTGACGAGCGACATCTACCCTAGTGATTACGGATGGTCAGTGAACTGGGATGAGCCGGTAAGTAATGTGAGTAAGAATCTGTTAGAGTTTCGCTAACAGTATCGCATAGGAAATTCGCCCTGACTATTATCATAACATGTCCTCCGTCATGGAGGCGGGACCTGTTGTGCGCACCAACCAGCTGGATTTTGACGAGGAGGTGATTTACAAGTCAACCCAGTATCTGTATGATCATGTGCGTCAGCGCAACGATCAGCCTTTCTGTTTGACCGTGTCTATGACTCACCCCCACGATCCGTATGCCATGACTAAGGAGTTCTGGGATCTGTACGAGGACGTCGATATCCCACTGCCCAAGAACCCCGCCATTCCCCACGACCAGCAGGATCCGCACTCGCAGCGCGTCTTGAAATGTATCGACCTGCTGGGCAAGGAGATGCCAGATGAGCGTATCAAGGCTGCACGACGGGCGTACTATGCCGCTTGCACCTACGTCGATACCAATGTCGGCAAGCTGTTGAAGGTCTTGGAAAATACCGGCCTGCGTGATGATACTATCGTGGTTTTCACAGGTGATCACGGCGACATGCTGGGTGAGCGCGGACTGTGGTATAAGATGGTCTGGTATGAGAACTCGTCACGAGTGCCGATGATCATGCATGCGCCCAAGCGGTTTGCTCCAAGGCGCATCCCCCAGAACGTATCGACCATGGATCTCCTGCCCACCTTCGTCGACATGGTCGGTACACAACTGGTCTCGGAACTGCCGCTGGACGGCGTCTCCCTGTACCCGTACCTGACCGGCCAGGACGGCCTCAAGACCGACACGGTGCTGGGCGAATACATGGCTGAGGGCACTCAATCGCCCGTGGTGATGATCCGTCGGGGCCGATGGAAGTTCGTCTACTCGCTGATCGACCCACCGATGCTCTTCGATCTGGAGGCCGACCCCGAGGAGAAAGTCAACCTGGCCGCCGGTGTCGTAGCGGAACGCTCGTCGCGCCTTCCCGCCGCCCCCCTGATCAAATCCGCGTCAGCACCGCCGCAGCCGCAGCCAGCCGCTCTGCCTACACCTTCCGACACACCGCGCGCATCGCCGCGAGTGCAGCCGACCTCGTACCCCTTCCCCAGTCCTCCGCGCACCCCCAGCCCCGGCAAGAGCGTGGCGTTGCCCGCGACCACCGACCCCGCGAAAATCCTGGCATACTTTGTGGACGAAGCGCAGGGCCGCTGGGATATGGAACGCATCCGCGACGACGTGCTCCGGTCGCAGCGTCGGCGACGTCTGGTGTACTCGGCGCTGATCCGGGGCAACCCTGCGATCTGGGACTACGAGCCGCGAGTGGATCCCAGCGCGCAATACGTGAGGAACCAGGGCAAGGGGGCCTTGGACGATGTGGAGTTGTTCTCGCGTTGGCCTCGCGTGCTGCAGCAAGCGGCGACGGCGGCGGGGGCTCCCGTTTAGTCTGTCTCAGCCTTGAGTGATCAACCCCAAAAGAAAGCGAAAACCAAAATGGAAAAAAAAAGAAAGGAATATGGCGAGCTTGCTTATCTCGACTCCATTATTTTGGCTTATTTCTCATTTCTGAGCTCACTTATCTTGCTTGTTGTTGTTTACATTTTTCCTTTGAGCGAGGCGCGATACCCGGCATTCGATGCATTGACAATTCCTGTTCTTCCTGCGTTGCGAGCGATTGCGAGATATGTCTACGAGGGAGGATGCAGAGCCGTTGTGCGCAAGCATTGAAATATGTACAATATCCAGATTCCAGGATCCAGGATAGGTAGAAAGACCAATGTAGATGCTGTACTCAATCATTCATTCTTTCATCTTCATATCGGCCGATAAGAAAGACAAAGCAAATCCCGAAAACGTCATCTTCCCCGCTCCCGGCTCCCGGCTCCCGGCTCCCGTGACTCACCTGCTTTTTTCTGTTCTCCAACCGTGAACTTTTCCTTCTCTTGTCCTCGTCTCTACGTGCCATTGAAGAACAGACAAGAACAGACAAGAACAGAAAAGACAAGATAAGACAAGACCGTCAAAATGCCCAAAATCACCGTCGCTGTCGCTCAAGCCCGCACGCACTCCACCCTCGCGACAACCCTCGACGCCCTCTCGCGAATCACCCACCACGCTGCCTCTCGCGGCGTGCATCTCCTGCTCTTCCCGGAGGCCTATCTCGGTGGATACCCGCGGACGTGCTCATTCGGCAGCAGCGTCGGCGCGCGCCAACCGCACGGCCGCGACCAATTCCTCTCGTACTTCCACTCAGCGGTCGATTTGGGCGATACGCCAGCGGGAGCAGGAGATGACTGGGTCCGTCGTGCGCTGCCGGTCGCCGAGGGGAAGAATCATCGCGGTGACGGCACGCGCGAGGCGTTAGAGAAGATTGCGCGCGAGACGGGCGTGTTCATCGTTACGGGGGTGATTGAGCGCGCGGGCGGGAGTCTCTATTGTGGTGTTGTTTATGTGGATCCGTTGAGGGGATGTTTGGGGAAGAGGAGGAAGGTTATGCCGGTATTTTTTGTCTCCCTTGATTCTCTTCTCTATTGCTGATGCAACTTACTTCGGAGTTGTATCTTGTGCCTGTTGGAATTGAAACGAACTGAACTGAACTAACACGAACCCCCGGGGATGTGAATAGACCGGAACAGAACGTCTCGTCTGGGCGCAAGGATCCCCCTCGACCCTCAAAGCCGTAACCACTTATCTCAACGGCGTCCCGGTGACCCTCGCGGCGGCCATCTGCTGGGAGAACTTCATGCCCCTGCTGCGCCAGAGCCTGTACTCGCAAAACGTGAACATCTATCTCGCGCCGACGGCCGACGCGCGGGATACGTGGTTACCGTTGATGCGCACGGCTGCATTTGAAGGCCGCACGTTCGTGCTCAGCGCGAACCAATGCGTTCGGTATAATGAGTTACCTGGGTGGATTACATCTCATGGGGAGGGCCAGTTTGCCCAGGGTAATGTCCCGACGACGCAGACGCAACAGATGCAGACGCATTATCGGAAACGGTCTGTGACGGCCGAAGGACTGCATGAGATTGTCTGGCCGGATGGGAAGAAGGGAGATGGTTCGTCTATCCTTCTCACATGTTACATTACCCACCTCGACAAGTGACTAACCAATCCCAACAGCATCCACCGAAGCAGTAACCTCCCCTACCACCAGCACCAGCACCGGCACCCTCTCAACCGAATACGTCTGCCGCGGCGGCTCCTGCATCATCGACCCGCAAGGGCAAGTCCTCGCCGGACCCATCTGGGAAGTCTGCGCCGACGACACACCCGATTCCACGGCCGCGGGGTACACGGATGGCGGACTCGGTGGGAAGCCCCGGGCCGTGGGCGACGGGTTACTCGTATCGGAGATCGACGTCGAGGATTGCGAGCGCGGAAGACTCGATATGGACGTTGCGGGCAGTTATTCGAGAAACGACGCGTTCCGGTTGCAGGTTGAGGGGTTAGATTTGAACCCGCCTCCTTTCTAGTCTGGAGAATGAATGGATTTATGCATGCATAGTCAGGACATAGCAGTACTATGTACCAGGTGCCATTGAACAGGTGTATAAAATAGCATTTTTTCACCATGGATACATCTAACTCTCTTAAGGATTCGCTACTGTAAGGATAGTCAACAGGAAGGGATGGCCATTGTGATGGCTTCAAAAAAAAAAAAAAAAAAAAAAAAAAAAAAAACCAACCAAGTCAAATGAAATAACTATAAAAAGCATCAAATTGAAACAAAACGCTTAGGTAGGTATTGCCAACATGAACACAAATCACACTCCAGGCATCTAATAAACCCAGAAACTTTACATACCGTAGACTTAATGGACGGCTATTCACCTTACCGAATCCATCCAGTGTCAAAAAGACATCCAAATCACAGACAGTAGTCAAAGACAAAGCCAACCCTCACAGAGAACAGAGAACAGTGAACAGAGGCAGTACACGATATGATATAAAAACCTACGCTTTCCGCATATAGACTGTATAATAACTATGTAGTATGATATGGTTTGTTAAAGTTATCTATCCAGCTTGACTTGACCTGGTCTGACCCGATCTAATACGGAAAGTCCTATACCGACACAGCAGTAGGTGACTTCGCATGACGAATATCTCGATCGATGATCCGTGCCGCAGAGAGACATTTCTCGTCGTGGAAGCGCGGCGCGATGATTTGGAGGGCACAAGGGGCGCCGTGGGTACTGCTAGGGTTGTCTGTGAATGCAATCAGTTTCTAGTAAACATACATGTATGATGTTGTGTTGAGGTTAGGTAGGTAGACAGGGCACGGAAAAAGCGTAAAAAGGAACAGGGAGACATACAATTCGGCTGCACCTCATCCCCAACTTTCATTTCCTCGGGATCCAACTCCCTCAACGATCTGCCGTATGGAATGATACATGCCGGATACTTCGTCAGAATAAACCAATCAGTCGTTGGAACCACACACACACACACACACACCTGCACAGCGCAAGAACCAGACCAGATAGGAAGTACTCACATCCAACAAATTCCACAATAACGTATACGGCGGCCACCCGTACGTATCATGCGGCACAGCGGTACTCTGCGCCCCAGGACCCAGCACAACATCTAGTCCATGTCGTACCCATAACTTGCGCCATGCATCACAGTACTCCCGTCTCGCGGTATGCAGCGCCTCAATTTTCTCGAATACGCCTAGCTCCTGGTCTACCGGGAATGAACCCGTGAACATGGGATTCGGGCCCCGTTGGACGGATGGTACGGCGGGTTCGCCGCTGGCAGCCATATGGTCGACGTGTGGGCCGTAGATGAAGTATTGAAAGCCGAGACGGTTAGCGTAGGCGGTTTCCTTGCTGGGATTCCTGTCGCTGTTGGTGTCGGCGTCTGCGTCAAGATGAATGATTTGATGACCCTGGATAGTTAGAGCCGCGATGGCGGAGTCAAGCGCTCGACGAATAGGCGGATGAAGAGGAAACTGTGGATCTTCAGGGAGGATGCCGATAGTGAGAAGGGTAGCAGCAGGCCGAGAAGGAGGAGCAGAAGTCCAAGCAGCCGATGTCGCTGTGATATCGTACTTCCAGGGCTCAGCTGCGAGGACGGTCGACATGAAGAGCTCGATGTCGTCGAGGGAATGCGCGAGAGGTCCGGCAGAGGGCTTTATGCCTGGCGCGCTTACAATAGCGCCCGTGACTTGTCCACCGAAAGGGATCCGATCAGTAGAGGGCTTGAAGCCGTACACGCCGCAGCAGAGGGCCGGGATGCGGATCGATCCCGCGATGTCGGTGCCTACGCCGAGAATGGATCCGCGGAATGCGACGAGGGCGCCTTCGCCGCCGCTGGAACCGCCAGCCGTGAGGTTCGTGTTGTGTGGGTTTAGAGTGCGGCCGTAGATGTTGTTGTCAGAGTCGCCAGTCTGTGTGTGTTAGATGTATGGCCGAGAGAGGGGTGGATGTATGGGTACTGACCATCATGGTCTGAGGAATGTTGGTCTTGACGTAGAGCACGGCACCCAGGTCTAGTAACATATTCACCAAGGCCGAGTTGGAGCTGGCAGGAGGGTGTGCCAGGAATGAAGCGTATCCTATAGTGCTTTGGATGCCCTCAAGACAAAAACTATCTTTCAGGCTTATAGGCAGACCATGCAATGGTCCGACGACCTTCTTCTCCCGTTTCAGGTAGTCATCGAGGTACTTTGCTCGCTCGAGGGCGCGGGAAAAGAAATGATCTGTTAGACAGGAGGTCTGCGAACGTCAGGATTTACAATCGAATATTCCGTTAAATGGTGATAACCGACCAATTGCTGCGCAATCGCTGCACGTTTACAAAATGCCGTGGTCACTGCCACGGAACTGACGTCGCCCCAGGCGAGCTTCTGAAGAAGTTGCGCGGCCGTATGGTTCTCCGTAATATCCAGCTCGAGACCAGTCAGGATTCCACTGCGTCGGGGGATGTCGGCCTCGATGAGATGTCCATTTTCAGGAAGTGAAGCGACAAACGAGTCGCTAAGTCGCCATTCCGAGGGAATCTGGGCGTCGAGCTGTTTGCGCTTCTGCGCAACCAGGGCGCGCCAGTCAAGATTTGGTGTTGGATTAATAGTCATGTCGAAAATTACTCGGACAGGAAAGAGAATAAGGAAGAAGACAGCTGCCAGCGACATCGCCTATTTATACTATGTAGATCTTGATTAGTACTAGACATTTATTTAGTGCCGATTCCCCGCTTCTCGTCGGCGTCGACCTTCCGGGTTAGGTTAAACGGAGGTATATCATATCCTGACTAGATGCACCTAATACACCGAGACAGACTTAGCAAAACTGGTGCACTCCCCTCCATGCTTGAAATCTTGGGCAGGAGCCGTCAACTTGGTGCTCCGCCCAAATTCCGTTGAAGCGCCAGAGAGCAGCACATGACTGGCCGATGGGGGTTGAGAGGCGACGGAAACTAGTTATTCTTCTCTATTTACTTCAATTGCTTAAGGTAGTTAATCCTGGAGGTCTTCATCATGGAGGAGACTTTGCTTGTCAGGAACTGTTATCAGTCATAGAGCTGCTTGAGTTTGGCTATGGTTTTCTAGTCCAAGACAGTACTTGACATTTGGACCGAAAGTTCGGAGGGAATGAGGTATATTTCGTCTATGTGACAAATGCAAAAATCGCTGGCCCAGAGGTGATGCACTCTGAGGTCTTGACCGCCGTCCAAGCAAGGGGTAATCCAACACGTAATTCCTATTTCCTACAGCCATGCACAGTTCTTTAATCCTTGACCATTCCCGGAGATCGCCCATGTTAGACCCCTACCCAACATATTCTATTAATCCATTTGGTCTGTTCATATAACTGCAATTACATAGCACTCATGCCCACCCTGCCAGATATACGGGAAGAAATTTTCGCAAACAACAATGCAAAACGGATTATCATAAAAGTGAATACTAAAACTTCGATCCTCAAGACTATCGTGCATCGGCGGACAGTGTTGCCAGCGAAATATTTCCTGAGTGGGAAAGTGACTCTCGGATTCTCCTCCTCGCCATTGATGTCAACCACCATGATTACGACTTTCTCACAGCGCACAAGAGTAATGCAATTCTTCCAGTCTATGTGCTTCGACCGCATGGGAAAGGCCGTGGCTGGGCTCTGATAAGGTGGCCTCAAGAGGATGAGCCCCTTGCTGCGAAGCTAGCGGATCTTCACAACGTCAATGGGTTTGATATCCCAACGCCCTTCCTGGAAAAACCATAATTCTCGCCTCGTGCACGCCAATCCCCGCGAATTTCCTGTGTGGGCTATTATCTTGTTCACCGAGCTGACGGAGATGATCTTCATATCAGCCGAAGACGCCCTAGCTACAGCATGGGCATTGTCGTTGTGCAACCGCTTTGCGACCCCGATTACCGTACCTCTCCTTGTACCAGCACTCGGGGCACTGAAAATTACGGTTGTCATACCAGGAAGTTACCCCACGTTTCCAATTTTCAGGTGCCACTTCCATCTTCAGACAATTTGTTTTGTATCTATTCCAGAATCTCTTCCGCCTCGTTCGATAACTTAAGCAGTCGCAGCAAAGGCCCATGCTTCTATCCCGCTCGCCATGATCATCACGAGGTGCTATTCGATGGAAAAGAAAAAATATGTCTGGACAAGTTGATGGTGGGAGGAACCTATGCTTGGCGACGGAGGGTATCAGGATATTCACGAGAGATGAAACTTGCAGCAGGCGTTTACACGATAGGGCGAAGCACATTCGATCTAACATTCGATATAGCTAATCATCAATGTTGTGGAATATTTCAACCAGGAGCTCCGTAGGTAAGCGCAACAGATGACCAGAAATCTGCGGTACCGCCTCCAGGAGCTGGTATATATTAGGCAATGAACATGCCACTAAAGAGATAGAAGAAAGTGGGATACTCACATTGCCTGGTCGTTTGAATCGACTACGACAATTTTTATGTGAACCCGGAAGGTTTGTCATCGAATAGTTGCAGTGCAAAACCGTAGGAATATTGGATGCTAGGGGTAGGCTGCTGAAGTGTTCAAAAACGAAGAAATTAAATGAATTGCTTAATTGAATGAATACGAAGATGATAAATTATCTAGGGGTCGTATAGGAAGGCCCTTTTATATCCAATTTAACGTGATCTTCATAGCCGATTTTAAAGAATCTTCCGGTTCGTATAGAGATCTTCGGAACTTGCCTTTAGTGAAGGTTTGGCAGTGCTTACGGTAAGAGCCCTTAGTAAAGATGCTGATTTTGCCTCTTGGCCGCAATATTCCACTGTACATACGTTATGTTACCTCCTTCTAGCTACAACATCCTCCGCCCTAACCCCCTCAAAGTTCGTCAAATGGTATGCATCAATCAGAATCCTGTCACCCTCGCAACTCATAACACCCACACATACTAGCCCATTCAACCAATTATACTTCCCCGCTCCGGCCTCTATTCTCAAGTGCGAGAAGAACTCCACATCATCCTGCGTCACCGTCGCAGGCGGTCTCATTTTCGGATTCTCAGCCACTTGTCTCGCGTATTTGGTTCCCGGTCCGGGACGATAGAGTCCGTGGGCGCGGACATAGAGGTAGTGGTTATCTGTCGTGCGGATAGTGTAGCGTGCGTCGAGAGTCATTGACTTTTGGCAATTATGTCAATTACTGAGATGAGGTTATAGTTTGAGTGGAAAAGAGACTAGGTACATACATGAGTTCCCTCCACCACAGTCGCCCAGTCTGCTCCGCCCAGCGGCAGTATCGTACCCTGTAGCTCGGGGCCTTTGAAAGTGCCGCCTGTGAGGTTGGCAATGCTGCGGTTTATTCCCGTGCCATGGGGTGCGCCGACGTCCACATCATCGGTGGCAATGGTACATTCAAGTCGGTAGATGAAGTTGAGGCCGGGTTGGCGCATGGGAGGCGAGTTCGGGTAGAAGGCGTTTCCGGGGGAGTTGGCGGGGTTGGTGGGAGCCATTGTGATTGATTATGTGAATAAGAGATGGATAGATAGAGAATAATATGGAATAAGGCAAGATGTGTCGCTTGGAGCTGTTTAAATGCTATCGCGAGGCAGACGATACGGTGGTAGGAGGGGTGGAGTTAGGGCTTATCCCAGAAAGGCAGGTCGACCCTGCGGGGAAAGGGAGAAGTTCACGGGGAGAAATGGATTTATCTATGCGCCTAAATCCAGTTTATAGGAGAAATTCTGTTTTTCCAAACTTAAAAAAAGATATCCCATACAACACTCAATCAGCAAAAATGTCATTCGTCCAATCCCTCCTCTTCGACTCTAGCATCCCCATCAAGGCTCGACAAGAAGCTCTCGATCGCGCATTTTCAGACCCAGGAATCCCTCCTATCCAGAGCACGTCTTCTTTCTGGCTCAAAGACCCGCATGTAAATCTCGCAAAAACCCAATCGACAGACCTGCCAACCCCAACAGACATCGTGATCATCGGGTCCGGGATTACCGGCGCCTCGATCGCCCGAACTCTCCTCACCACTGGCCATGGCAGGGACAGTCCCAAGCCTAGAATTCTTATTCTTGAAGCCCGCGACGTCTGCAGTGGCGCGACAGGCCGTAATGGAGGGCACATCCTCGAAACAGTCGAGGAGTTCACCGAGCTGGAGCAGTCGATCGGGCTCGAGGCAGCGAAGAAGGTGGTTCAGTTTCGACTATCACATTTGGATGAGGTGCTAGCTGTGGCGGAGGAGTATGGGCTAGTGGAGGAGGCGCAGGCGCGAAAGGTGCAGTTTCTTAGTGTTTATTTTGATGATGAGAGATGGGATGAGGCGGTGCGTTGTATCAAGAGGTTCAAGGAGTGTATGCCAACGGAGTCGGCTGATTGGAGGATCTTTGAGAGGGAGATTCCGACGGTAAGTGAATCGAATCCCATGTAAATTCAGGTGTACAAAGCTCTCTATTGTTAATAGACTGATAACAGGAATTCTGCCTTCCCGCTGCACGAGGAATCATCGCCGGTCCGGCCGGGGCTCTGTGGCCGTATAGATTCGTTACGGGCATCCTGGATCGTCTACGCGATAGGTTTCCTGATAATCTGCAGATAGAGACAAATACACCCGTCCTGGAAATCAATAATACAGGTGCTGATCAGCATAGCTACTCTGTCACCACGGCGAGAGGCAGTATAAAAGCTCGGCATCTCATCCATTGCACGAATGCCCACGTCGGCCACCTCGTCCCAGGTCTCAGAGGGCGTATCTATCCAATCCGCGGACAGATCTCTGCGCAGAACCCGGGACAGAGATTCCCCAGCCAAGGGACAAAGCATTCATGGCTTTTCAACTATGACCGTGGCTTCGACTATCTGACGCAACTTCCGTCCGGATCTGAACATGACACTACGAATAAAATGATGTTTGGTGGCGGTTTTGCCCAGGGCAAGAACGGCGGCATAGATGATCTCGGGATTTCTACGGACTCTGAAATGAGCTTTTACACTGACATTCATCTCTCTGGGGCGTTGAGTGTTACCTTCGGACGGGAGAACTGGGGCACTGTTTCGGGTCCCGCTGTGGAAATGATGTGGACGGGGAATATGGGATTCAGTGCAGATGGGTTTCCGTGGGTAGGAAGACTCCCGAGATCTTTGACAAGAAGAGGCACAGATGCGAATCGCACTGAAAAGGGTCATGAATGGGTTTCTGCCGGGTTCTCGGGCGAAGGGATGGTGCATGCGTGGTTGTGTGGAAAAGCGCTGGGAAGAATGATATTGGCGGACGATGAGGGGTTAAGTGAGCAGGAGGACTTGTCTTGGTTTCCGGAGCAGATGCTGGTAACGGAGGAGAGAGCTCAGGCGTCTGTTCTGCCTCGGAAGGTGGTGGAGAGGGCGTCTCATCTGTAGATAGTTACTCTGTTTAAGGAGCATTTCACGGCTTCCTATTCAACATGCGTTTGATTAACGAAATAATAGGGCTTTGTTGAAGGACGAAAGTCCGTCAATTCCAATGCGATATGCATTCTTATAATCATTAATAAGTTGAAGAGAAATTTAATTCTTGAAAGGTAACTGGTTAAATTGAGAGATCATCCTGCTTTACCCATGTTCATACGTTTATTGACCAGCGCATCCACTCCGCTAAGCCACCTTTTCCAGGTCTCTCCATCACCCCTTGCGAGTATCTGCTGCATGCGACTATACGAGCGAGCCTCTTCATCCTCATTCTCACCTTTCACCCGGCGAGAGCAATCCGGCCCCCAAACCTTCCACTTCCCATGCATTGTCTCCCACGACGACTCCCCATAACAAAACAAAATCCATGCGCTAGCAAGTTCTCTTGCCATCTCACACTCCTCGGCGGACAACTCATTATCCAAATTTCCAAACAGATAAAGCAGCTCGTGTGCGTGATATGCAGTTCCTTCGAGAGCGTTCTTCAGCCGGGATCGCTGGTCAAAATGATATCTGAAAACAGCGTTCTGACTGCCCAGACGCCGACTAGCTGACACTGTCGCGTAATTCGGGATTTTGAAGATTGCATCGCCGCACATGTGCTCGACGCGACTGAGAAGCGTTTCATGCGACAGACCTGAGGAGATGTCGTAGGCATTGAGGATCCAATCTGTGTCTTCGTCGTTCTGGATATGTTCTTGAAGAGTTTTTCGGATAGAGGCGAACGTATCTTCCAGAAGATTCAGATGGAAGATCACCCCTTCATGGTACGTATCTCCCAACATAAACGCCTCAACCCAGTCCGGAGGCTCTCGAATCTCACGTGGATCCTGCGCATAGAACCACCCATCCAGACAAGGGTTTCCCGTTCCCGAAAGAACACCCTGAATAACGCTCGTCGCATTAGCCAATTCCTGCTGCGGGATCTGCCTCAAACAATCTAAGACATCTGCTCTCGAGGGATCAATCTTAAAGTGTCGACAAACAGCCCAAAACAATCGCTCATGTTCCTCCATGCTCCATGCGGGAATCGCCACCGACAGTCCAGACATGCAGACTGCCCGACGGAAACGCGGCGGTTGCGCTGAGACCATTTGATTGCTAATCGAGATACCTCCCGCGGACTCGACTACAGCAGTAACTTGCCCCGGATCACCACCTAGACTGGGTATATAGCGTTGAACCCATTCAAACGCGACCTGTTGGTCTGTGAAGCCGAAATTTCCGCAGCCGTGGTGGCCGTCTCGGCGCAGTTCATTGCGGATGGCCTCGCTGGCAAGAAATCCGCCCAGTCCGACACGATAGTTAAAATTCACGCATACAATGGGCTTGTCAATGCGGATACTGTGACAGACGAGATTGACTGCGTCAAAAATGGGCAGATTCGCGCCTCCGTACAGAAGCGACCCCCCGTGTACGTATACAAAGACGGGAAGACGTTGCGAGCCAGGGGCGTGAGGAAGAACGATGTTCATGACCAGTCCGGACAATTCGTCTATTTCAGGGAGATCTGGGAAATGAGGAGATGGGGGGACAGGGACGAGATCGTCTGTGTCGTCTCCTTCAATGATCGGATGGGGACAGGAGTTTCTATGTACAAATGATCAGGATACTGCTTCTGGGTGATGAATTTTGGGATCTGGATCCTACCCGAGCTTTCTCCCATCATGGTAGCTATCTGTCCAGGAGGTCTTCAAGGATGATCGAGTCCATCTCTTGGGCAGAGTGGCATAGGGTATTCCGCAGTATTGCTGGATCCCGTTGGCATATTGGAAGCCGTCCAGCTTTCCAAGAGATGGGATCACAGTTGAGCATGTCGAGATGGGGGACTGAAAGGACATGATTGAATGTATACACATAAACGTAAGCTCCAGCTTCTTATGCAGGGAAGAGTCGATGATCGATGTTGTACTCCTTGTTATACTGTGAATTACGGCCTCAGGCACTAAGGCAACTAGACCAAAATGGGCAGGCGGACGCGCCGGACCTATCAGATTAGATCTGATAGGTCCGATCAATCCACTCATCTTCCCCGCAACGTGTGCCCATTTTACTTCTACTTTCTTTCCATCTTTCTTCTTCGGACACCATGATCCACCAGAAGTATTCGGTTTTCTCATCGTAACAGGAATGTCGACCCCTCGCCAACGCTCCCATGACGGATGCTGGACCTGCAAGGCCCGCCGTCGAAAGTGTGACCGCGCCCGTCCGACCTGTCGCGCCTGCCACGAGCGTGGCATCCACTGCGAAGGCTACGAAGTACGCTTGCGGTGGGGATCAGGAATAGCCTCGCGCGGTCGTTTCACGGGGGCGGGGGAGCCGGTGGTCGCGTCTGTGCCTGTGCGGGCCAAGGGTCGACGACGGGATTTAAGTCGCGAGAGACGCGGGGCAGTGGGATCTGGTTCTGGCGTGCGAGCGATTGGTGTAGAAGGTGAGCCTGCAGTCCTCTCGCCGGCTGATGATGGATTTGTCGATTGATGATATCTGGCGACTAGGTGGCGATGTTGATAATGGTCTGTCCGACTCTTCAGGAAGATCCCCAGAATCATGCTCTGAGCGGAGCAAGGAAGGAGAGAGGTTGTTCCAGGAATGTAGGTGCTTTCTCCCCCTTGTCTACTACTCCCAACTGATCAAAATTTTGGGTAGTTCTTTCGTCCGGGATCTATATTTTACATGCAACGACAGTCCACGATGCAGGAAACCTCCTGGCGTTGCAACTACCAGAGCTCTGTCGGCAATCTGACGCATTATATGCGGTATGCCTGGCATTGCAGGCTTCGATGGCATCTGAACCAAAATATCCATTTCTAGAATATTTTGACGCAGCCCTTAATCAATTTCGTACCGAGTTGGCTGGCAGCGTGACGCAGCTCGAGGATGGAACGCTCACTGCGGGTTTATTGCTATGTAGCATTGGAGTATGTCAAGATATCCTTGTTGAAGATGAGCCATAACTAACTGGATTGATAGCTAATGCATGGCTTACCGTGGACAATGCATCTACGCGGAATGTACAGCTTGTTACAATCTCAAGGGCTCGACACTGACTACCGCCAGCAAACAATGTTCCGGTCACACTTACTCGAAGTGATGGGTGTAATGGATTTACCATCATTTGCCATTGGTCGTCAAAATCCAAGTCTGGGCTTTTGGCGAAGGTACTGTCGCGATCGCATCGAGTATGTCCCCAATAATGTAGAAGTTGTCAGCGGGCTACCGAGGTCTTTACTGGATATCCTCTCCTGTATAGGAGAGGGTGGTGCAACAGAGGAAGATTTCTGGGACTGGCCAGGTGCTCAGGGCACCTTACTTCAATGCCAGTTGTGGGAGGCCTATCGACTGGCTGGTATTCTTACTATACGATACGCCCAACTACATTCGCCGCCCGGTCAACTAGAACAACTACCTTTGTCCCGACCGAAAGTTCTACCGGAGACAAATGTCATTGTGCTGCGTATTATCAGTAGTCTGGATGCTGTTTCTCGTGGGTCTACTGAAATAGTTGGAAAAGACTCCTTGGTCCTCAATGCTATTCACTATCCCTCTTTTGTTGTGGCCTTACAGGTCGATATCCTCAACGGCGACCCGGGCTTGAAAGAAGTCATTCGGCGTTGCTTTTCCCTTCGTGGATGCCATGCCGAAGTTGGTAGACACGGTGAGATACTGCTAGATCTTCTCGAAGACTGGTGGCAATCTGGCCATGAGACTGGTAGCGTGCACCAACTTGCCCAGTCCCGGGGACTGGAGCTGGGATTACTCTGACGGTCTATGTCATGGATATCAATTTTCGCCCTGTCGTGGTGTCGCTTGCCGCAACATTACCCAGCATTTGACTGTATCGCCGTTGTCAACCAGGTCAATCTCCTCAACTACCTTGAATCCTAGACTCTCATAAAACCAGACATTCCGTTCCGCGGTGCATTCAAGCACGATGGGCTGACCCTCTGTGTAATCCAGCAACCAATTCATCACTTTGCTTCCTAGTCCTCGCCCTTGAAGTGAAGGATGAACAGCTACCACTTCCAGATACCAGAGGTCGTCGATTTGATACTTAGTTCTAACATTATCTAACGCCTGATCATGTCCACGTATCATTTGTTCGAGTCGCTGGGATGGTCAGCCTAATCCATGCAAATGGATCTGTCAAGCATACCTTCTCATCGCCACCATTATCGGGCACAGGAGACAACTTATCCAAAATCCACAACTTGATAGCATATAGAACTCGAGTCACCGTCCAACGTAGCCTTTTCTTCGGAGGGACAAGTAACACAGCGGCTTCTGCATCGGTGCCTTCATCGGTAATGTGTTCTGAGACTATCTCCGACTGTTTCGATTTCTGGTCTCTCAATGGAACTAACTCTGCTAGGTGCGTCACAGACAGCGATCGAAAGACCATCCCATCTACTATGGCCCGCTGCACCCGACGATACTGCCATCGATACGTATCTGGTTGGAATCGTGTCCACGGGGGCGCATGGGGCCGCAGCCACCGTATCAAAGGGTCCCGGGAGAATGATAGGCTGATCGTCTGCGCAACGGCCGAAATATCGCGGGAGTCTAGATGAGTGGCGACAAGTCAGCTTCGTCTTCGGCAAAAGTAAATGCGACAAATACCGGCGTGCACTGGACCAAGTTTGAATCCCATGTCATTCGCGCCACCGCCGTTCTGATAAGAAGGCATTTTCTCATACCCTGGGAGATGGGATAGATAGCCGCGGTTCAGGGCACATCTTATAGGATATGCGGGACAGGGTCGGGAGTGTTAATCTGCCGATTTTGCACGGACTTCAGGTGTGCGACGGCCTGCCTATTCGGGTTGATTGTATTCGGTTCATGGTGGTGGCTGATCTGCGATAGGCATCTATCTCCAGATGGAGCTAAGTTTGAAGCTATTCCCAGCCAGGAAGGTCGACCCTCGGGCTTGGGTTCTCCAAATCAACCATACTTTAGCGTCATGGCTGCTTATCATTGCAGATCTGAGATTTCCCCGCATTTTGCCCGCGTCTGCAGCCAGTGATGATGCTTGGGCCTTATCTGCTGAACGCAGGATATCAGAATGGATGGATTGTGTCGTAAAAGGACGAAACCCTTTATCAAAAGGATTGCCCTCTGGTCAATTCACTAGTTGGTCTTGATCAATTATCTTGACATATTCCATCTGACAGTGATAGAGATCATACCTGATGGCAGATTGTGGTCCTTCAACCTCTCAGGACTTTGATCAACCTCCTGGGACCTTTCTACTTATCAAAGGTAGTGGATGTCCTCGTTCAAGAACATATCTAATCATTCACAGATGAACCCGACGAAATCCAACATCAGCATGTTCTCATGCTCAGTCCTGTGCCATCGAGCGATCCCAATGAGCCATTGGTTTGTGCAGAAATCCACAATTCTCTACCATAGCTGACGGCATGAACAGAACTGGAGCACAATCCGGAAGGCATGCAACTTTGCTCTCGTTCTGGCAGTAACATGCCTTGTCTTCACTGCGTGAGCCTTTCTCGTACTCATCCTTTTTTTCCTCGGCTATGAATCTCACAATATATCAAACAAATAGTCTCTCAATTCAAATGATCTTCTGGCAACTTATGGTCGACGACCTCCACGTGACCTACGAACAACTCAACCAAGTCATGTCGGTCAACTTTGTCGGACTCACACTAGGCTGTGTGATGTTTATTCCGTTAGCTAAAAAGTTTGGTCGTCGACCGGTATATTTGGTTTCGACTGCCTTGATGATGGCGACGTCCCTGTGGACTGCAGAGCTGAAGACTCTGCCGGAGCTGTATGTGACCAATTTGCTACAGGGGCTCGCGGGTGCGACAAATGAGGCTATTGCGCAGATCACGGTATTACTGCCTGTCATATGTCTTCTCGTTCTTGCCGTATGTCTCAAAAGGACTAGTCTGGATAGATGCTGACGCCGATACAGATTGCTGATCTCTTCTTCGTGCACCATCGTGGGGGTATGAATGCCTTGTATATGACTATGATGATGATAGGGGTAAGAGCTTTCCTCGCATATCGTGTGTTGGGATGATCACTAAAGATAAAAGAGCTTTCTAACGCCGATGGCTGGCGGCGTGCAAGCAACGCAGCAGGGTTGGCGCTGGTCCTATCACACCATGGGGATCTTCAACGCGGTTTTATTGCTCCTGTTTATTCTTTTCTACGAAGAAACAAAATACTCGCCCATCATCGAGGGAGTTGGCCCTATGGAGCCTACCGACAATAACAACCATTCCAGAATCACCCCTAATAACGACCAAAAGAAATCTGCCCTCGAGCCCAGCGTTCAACCCACAAGCTCTTTCACACATGAACTCGATCCATCGATTCCGATGAAACCATGGCGTCAAAGATTCCCCTTGTTCACATACACCCCGGAGCCTATCTGGCCACACTTCCATCGTCCCTTCGAAGCGTTGTTCACCTTCCCGGCCATTCTCTGCTGTGCGTTGCAATACGCCAGTGGCGTAGTTTGGCTGACGATCCTTTCCACCGTCATATCACTAGTCTTCCCCCTACCCCCGTACAACTTCAACCCCGCGGAGATCGGCTATATGAGCATAGGTCCATTCGTCGGGAATTTGATCGGATCGTTCTATGGGGGGTTCTTTGGCGACTGGTCGATCGTGTTCTTTTCAAGTCGCAATAAGGGATACTATGAGCCGGAGATGAGGCTGTATATCTTGCATTTTCCGGCTATCGCGCTGTGTGGTGGACTTGTGATGTTTGGGGTTACGATTGACAGGGTATGACTTCCTTCTTGTTCTTTCTTCTGTTTTTGCCTCGCAATATTTCGGATACGATACACGTTCAACTCTTACTACGACCCGACAGAGCAAAGTATACTGACAAACCGATAGGGCATGCATTGGATCCTCCCCAGCGTCGGTGGCGCGCTCTTCGGCTTCGGACTCGGAAGTATCAGCGATGCATGCCTGACGCTAGTGATTGATAGTTACATGGAGGTAAGACTGTTTACATCCTCCCTGACTTCCCGTATCCCCCCACCCATCTCTATATCCGCAAGCGACTCAAGCCAAAAAAAATACAGATAACTGGCGACGCCTTCACGGGGATCGCCTTCACACGAAACGCGTTCAGCATCGGCATCCCGTTCGCCATCACGCCATGGATGCAGCGCAACGGATTAACGAAGATGTTCATCGCCTGCGGCTTCATAAGTCTCGGCGTGACTCTGACCTTGCTGGGGATGGTTTGGTATGGGAAACGAATGCGCAGGGCGACGAGCAGAAGATATCATGTCATGGCTGGACGTGGTGAATTTGGCGGGGGCTCAGAGTCAGGGCGTCGGTAGGGCGTGTAGTGCATCTCTTACATATTTATGGTAGACATGAAGCCTATGTAGGTCTGATGACATTTTGACGACACAAAAGTAAATGTCGTCAACGCAATATTCTGCCATTTTCAACTACCCTTCCATCACATTCACTACATTTCTCTTTCTAATCTACTCCAAGAGTACTACACACCCACTGTTTTGAAAAAATGCTGTTGGATCTCCTAGGCCTAGCCTTCGGGTTCTTCGTTGTGAAACCCCTTGAGCCGCTCTTCGTATACGCTGAGGACCGACTTGAGACCAAGGGGGACTGGCGACGCGCCTAGAACTTACGTTTTTTCCAACTAGAAATGCACTGTTTTTCCAACCGTACCTCGAAGCTACTTAAGTTCTGGACCCAAGAGCAATTCAAACTCGATCTAGTAGTCCAAAGGCTTGTCTGTTTCCTTATACAGGAGAAGAAACTCTAGGACCAAATAGAGGCCAGCCCCAAAGCGGAGAACGCCAGGAAAGAACTAGAGGCTATTCAAGAGACAATCAAGGCTACGCGCAGTGTGTTACTCAAACATCGAATGACCATCCTTAACACTTTCATCGAACTTCCTTATGAGCCGTTCAAGAGGGCAGTCGAGTGCCAGCGCATACATAGAAACTGGTTGGTTTCAGGATGGCTCCGCCGCTACTGTGCTGAAAAAGGAGGGTGCTGCGGACGTGCATGCGGATGCTGTGAGAAACCGAGATACGGAATCGAGGATAGAGGTTTTAGGCATTGTACGTCAACTTGTATGTGCTGTGAAGAAGCACGAGGGTTCCATATCGACATCACAGAAAAAGACCCTTACGAGCCTCAAGTGGATGACATGTCTATGCTGGTGCCCATCTTGTGCTCTATTGCCTTTAATATATGAGACTTTATGTTGCTGATAGAGGTGCTCTTTGCTAGTTTCATGCTCGTCACCTTATCCTATTCATTCCCTGTACTTCAGCCTGATCCTGTTCGTTTTTCTCACCCGCAAATTAGAAATGGTTAATTCAGTGCTCATGCTGTGATCTCTTGCAGTAAATCAACGAAAAGCAATTACGTGGCTCTCTCAACATCTACGTTTAACAAACTTCCTGATAATCCAAGGATCAGCACTTTGTCTTGCTAAGCCTTGAGGGCGCACGCCTTCCGAACCTATTCGTTGGGAGCTATGGAAAGAGCGAGAGCAGCGCCTTCTTCCCACAGTAGCTGTGCCTTCCAAATAGAGGACTACCATGGAAGACGTATAAAAAGTTTACCCGTAGGTATGATAGTGTGTAGACAGTGGAGAATCAGCACGCACTTTCATGTTGTAACCACAGCCACCCATTCACGCTAGCTATACTCGGCTCTCACAAATTGATACGCCTTCCTCCACTTTACTGGGAAGCCAAGCCGTGAATGGAAGGTTCCTGAAAGATGTCGTCGCTGTCTCAGACGGGTAATGGCATTGGGCCAAAGGCGTTTGAGTGGTTGTTTGCATGGCCACCATGCAACACGCCATTTGTTTTGGTTTCCTTTCGCGTCGCTTCTCCCCTCTTCTTCCCGTACCACCTCTCTCTTTCCCCTCAAAATCCCACCTTCTATCATTCCTTCGCCTTCTCTTGGATAGCTTTCTGTAAAGAGTTCTCTTCCTCTGTGGTGACACTTTTTGGTTTCTCCTTTCTGTTCTTATTCAAAATATACCATTCCCTCGCTTTCTACAATGTCGTCCGATACTTTTAAAAGGGGCCGCGCTGCTGAGATTAAAAAGGCTGAAAAATGTAGGTTCTATTCTCATTTGATCCCCTCCTGTCTGCTTCTATGACTAATCATCACCAGTGGCACACAGACTCCACCTTACCGTATCTGATCGCTATGTTGTTGAGCTCCTGGATCCAAATGGTAGCATGCAGTTGATGCCAGGCCATGACGGACAGCCCGATGTTCGCGCGTACAACAACAGCCGGCGCCACACAACTGCCTATCTCGTGCAGGAGCGCGGCGTCAAAATGGCTGTTCCCTGTGAGAGTTGTGCCCGCGGTGGTGTTCAACGCCCTTGGGAGGACTGTATAGCAGTTCCAGCTTTTGGTGGATATAGCGTCCACAATCATGCGTGTGGCAATTGCTTGCGGAGTGCCGGCAAGGCCTGCTCCTTGCGTCGCGATTTTGAACAGCATGGAGGGACTAAATGGAACGACCCGATCCATAGGTGAGTAGCATTCCTAGCTGTCTATTATAATCCAGAACTGATAGTAGCCAGCTATGTTCTGGGTAAAGGTGGCTTACTGGCTGCCCTTGAGCGCGAGCCAAAAAGACGATCCACTGTCGGACAGGCTGTTATAGCGGGAGCAATTGAGTGTAAGGATTCTTTTCCCGCCCAGGAATCTGAAGCGCTCGAGTTGTCTGTTTGTGAATCGATCTCCAAGAGCGAGTCAGGCATGGCGATGAGAGATCCTCCCGCAAAGGGAAAGACGGTAGGTTTTTATTTCCTTAATAGTTTCTTTTACTGACCTTCTCTCCAGCCTGCACAGAGCTCTGAGATCAAAATCGAACAGGAAGATGGAGTAAGTTCAGGTTCTACTCGTCCCTACCAGTTAACAACAAGAATACTAATTGGCTTTTTCACAGGCTAGCGACTCGGCTGACGAGCTCGACGTCTGGGATATACACCCAGTAAGTCGTTTTTTTTTATACATGGTTCGCCTGATAATTGACTCGTTGATCTAGATTCCTCCGGATCCGGTTCGGCCTAACGGGCAACCTTGGGCAGCGACCTGTCGTCCATGCTTGAATCGCCATGAAGTTCCAACAGGCAACAGGGATACTTCTGGCAGTGGTTCGGCCAAAAATAACCCAGAGACAAACGCCCCCGTCATGGCCTCCGGTTTCCTGGTAGGTCAGGTTGTTTCTTTTGATCACACCCTGATTCCGACAAGACTCCTTTACTAACAGCTGATTGTCTTAGCCCCCTCCTCTGACATCAACCCTTGATTCCTCTAAACCAGCAGTCCGCAAACGTAACGCATCCGGTGAAGCCTCCAATAATCCGCCAAAGAAGCTTAAAGCAGCTGTTCACCCCTCGTTGACGGATGAAAATGTTCCGACGGTTACCATTACGTTGGCGGAGTACACTCGGCTGATAAGACTGGAAAACGACCGGGAACGCATGGCTGAGGCCGTGGAAGATATTGCACGTCTGACCTCCAGGGTTAAGGAACTGGTCTCAGCTGAGAATGATCGTGAGTAAGAACCGTTTCCTATACCAAGCGGAAGGGACCTTCGCCGACCTTGGGGCAACGCTCTCCCCTGACCAGAAACAACTCATCTAGGCTGGAAAGCAGGCCACGGCAGCTTCAGTGACCGGTGAATCTGCTAATGATCCGGTTGTAACTCTCTATTCAAAGAGCTGTAGGTGAGTTGTTGGCTCTTCCATCATGATAGCTTTTGTTAGTTAAGATGTGTTGGGCGGAGATGTGGATCTCAGACTCAGAGCATCAAAGTCAGTGTTGCTTTTGGGTCGCTCTACTCTCAATAAATGTATTGAAGTCTTTTGAGGGCTCCAGAGAAAATAGGTAATTTGTTATCTGGGAGCTTACTTAATCAATCTTTTTGAACAATTGTAGCTCCTAAGTAATATACTCTATAGGAATACTGCCAGCAGCGAGCTCTAAGTATGGCAAGTCAAGACGATCTATATAGATTATATCAGGTACCAAGCGTGAGACTACTTTTTCCCTGACCATATCTACTAATGAGAAGCGAGAGTGGCAATATTGTTTGTTTGTCTCGAAGAATACACTTATGGGGAAGGCTTTATTGGCTTAGGGGGTTCAACCCAGTCGAACTTTCCCAGCGGCTTCGTCAACCAAACATCTCCTGGCTTATCAGCCATTCTAGGGGTCGAACGGTCAAACATCGAGCCACTCAGAAAAGTGTATGGGAACCCAAAGACAAATGGGTAGGCCCGTTCAACCTCTTCAACTTCGTCCTCAGTAAGAGCAAGGCTCAAACTTGCTATACTGCCCTGAAGATGATCGACCTTTCTGCAACCAACTATGGGAAACACATGTAGACTTCTACATTACATATGCAAGAGCAACGTCAAGCAGCTTCACACCTCTAGCATGGCTGATCCTTTCGAGCACAGCAGAGACCTTCCTGTCATGATCTGATGTAGGAATGAATTTCCTTCCCGGGTTATGAGTCTCACGTTCCTGGAACCCTTCTCTGGCCTGGAAACGGCCTTGATTGAGAACGCCGTAGGGACACAATGCCATCCTTTCGTCTCGCGCCATAGGAATCACATCTCGTTCAAAATCACGCATCTCTGCATTCCACATTCCTTGATAAACCGAGAATTGACGCAAGCCATGATCGCGGGCGTACTGATTGGCCTTGGTTACAACCCAGGCAGGGGTGTCCGAGATACCCAGGTAGATCACCTTCCCTGCCACGACCAGGTCATTCAAGGCATGCATCAACTCTGGTATCGAGGTCGTATAATCCCACCAGTGGACGTAAAGCAAATCGATATAGAAGGTCTGCATTTTGCGTAGAGACGCGTCCACGCTGACCTTCATGGACTTCGCATTATTGCCGCCGTAGTTGGATGGGATGCGAACTTTGCGATGCGTCATATAAGCGGCTGTGTACTTTGTTGCAAGCACGATCTCATCACGGTTCTCGCGTGATGCCATCCATTCGCCAACGATCATCTCCGACTCTCCCTCCTGATAACCGCTGGCGGTATCGTTAAAGTTTCCGCCCTGGCTATAGAAGTGATCAAGGATCTCGAAAGCATCGTCACGCGAACTCGCCATACTGGCCACCTTGTTTGCCTCCGAATGTCATGGTTCCTAGGCATAACGGCGATACACGGATGGTACCTGCCGGCGTAAGTTGACGATGGCGGAAAAGAGGGGAGGAATCGGCATTCTTGTCAAGCGAGCTCATGGTGAGTATGTGTTGTGCAGGAAAGGTGAATGGGTCTAATCTGGGATGATTGAAGTAACTTACACAAGGCAAGACTCAGTATCAGATGGCCGTCAAGATTTAAGATAAGCGATCCGTACTACTCAGGACTAGCAGTGACTTCATGTCTGGACTTGGGCGGAGGTAAAAGGGCTAGTTCCGCTTAAGTCCGGTATGAAGTCCGGTCGAGTTGATGGCCGGATCCACACTCTGCTGCGGGTGAAACAAAGTAGTGATGTTGTATTATCAACTCACTCACTACAATGGGCCACGTTCTGGAAAAACTGGAAAGCAATCTTCGGCAGGGATTGAGGAGGGATCACCTAACATAAAACTCTAGTATCTGTCATAGGTCACTAGTCAAGGTTGCTTAAAACCGAAAATGCGAGTAGTTTTAGTCAGAAGTAGAAGAGTAGAAACCATTCAACAAGAAAAGATCGCAGAAAATGGGCGAATATCCTCCGTGGCATCATGCTTTCACAAACCAATGTTAGCGAAGGCAGACTTTTGTAAGCCCGAGTATCCGTAATAGTTAACATAATTTCCATTAACCAGAGTGTTACCACCTAATCCGAGAGCAATGGGCACCAAGGTAGACTTCAGACAATGGATATCTGCACTCAGTAGTCATATCCCAATATTTGAAATGGAGAGGTTCGGGAAGTTCGGGTTCCAAGAAGTGCAAGATTTTTAGTACCCCTGGCTTTCAGCGGCAGAAGATCACCGTTTGGAGTCTTGACACGTAGGCTATCGATCAGCCTAGTGCTTTGTATAACTTTTCTACGAGGCTCCTGGCCACATATGATGTCATCGGGTACCAGGTAAACTCGCTGGAACCTCGATCCTGAGTATTTCCAGGCTGAATTATCTCTAGAAAACGTTCCTAATAGCGACCAGCAGTATTGTCTCTCCAACCATGAAATTAGTCAAATATTCTAAAGAAGTCCTCATAGAAACTCCCCATATTGTTCCTGTTGCTAGCCACCCAATAGAAAAAGACCGTCTATGCCTACCGCAAGAAGGCCCGGGTTCCTTACACCATCATCGACATTGGTGTCTGGCACGAGGTTGTCATCCCCCGCGTCCCTTCCGGAAGACTCGACCGCGCCGCAGTGATGGGCCGAACATTCCTCGTCGGAGCAGGAGAGGCATGCTGCGCAACCACCGCAATAGAGGATATCGGTCGTTTTGTTGCCTCGATTATTGTTGATCCACGTACTCTGAGCCGGTACGTGTTCGCCTACGGTGAGCATGTAACGCAAAATCAGTACATATCTCTTGCACGCGAGATTACTGGCGAGGAAGTACCGTACATTCCGGTCTCCGAGAAAAAGGTTCTTAAATATTGAGCTTGCGCACCAACCGGAAACAGTGTTTTCTATAATCTGGCAGAAGGCCATCGTGCAATTTCTATACAACAATTGGGTCAAGGGGGACAATGAATCCTCTTACACCAAGTACCTCGGTTATCTAGATGCGCATGATCTATATCCGGACTTGAAAGTCAAGCCTTTGAAGAAGAGTGTACGGGAGGCATTTGCTAATGGACAAGACTTTGCTTCTCAAGTTGGTGACGATCCATTTTGGTCGGGCCTTGAAAAGCTTCTATTTGAGGAAGAGAAATAGTTCTGGCATTGGTTTCATATTTTGAGATGCGCCTAAGCCCAAATTCGATAGGCCATCGGTAACGGAGTGCTCCTTGTCTGTTTCATAGCACCGGTAACCCCCACGATAAAGATGAAAACGAGACGGACTACTTTTGCTCATAGACCAGCAGATCGGAACTCTTTTTTCTCCACCCCAAGCGACGATCACGGAATTAGGAAAGCCAGAAGAATGATTCAAAGATCGCCTTTACATCCGTAATGCCGAAAACAAAAGCATAAATGGATGCATGCATCTGCGCTTCCAGTTTACTATCCAAGCATCCTGTACTTCCCTTCAAATCCGTGACGGAAACGAGAAAATAAATTTCTTTACTCCCGATTCGCGGACATTTGGTAAAGAGAGCATGTCGCCTGCTTCACCTCTGCCGGCCGGCTCCAAGCTCTGGGTAGGTGTCCTCATCCTAGGCGACTTATCAAACAATGCCGCTGAACATAGGAATACAAGCTACTTGACCTAGGCACCCTCGACATCGATGCCTCATACGTTCTTTCCGGCGCCAACGTCCCGTCCAGTGGCCGGCCAACTCAGGTTCACGAGAGCCGGCCATGTCTGATGATCGCGGCGCTGCTCTACCATCCAAGCACGGGCCTCATCTTGTTTGACACTGGGTCCTGTGAAGATATTATTCAGTCGTGGGATCGGGAATTCTTAGAATGTGCACCTCGCTTGTGGGAGAAGGGAATCCACTCCCTTCCGGCCGCAATCAAAGCCACCGGGGCCGGAGAGATCACGGACGTCAAGGCCGTTGTGATGAGCCATCTGCATCTTGATCATGCTGGAGGACTGGAGCATTTCTTCCAAACAGGTTCGTTTCTTTACCCGCTCGTACTTTCTTTATCGGTGGAAAGATCGGCTGACCAGAGCGATACCTAAACAGATGTGGAGATTTGGTGCCACGAGACAGAACTCAAGAACGCTTTCTGGGCCTCCGCAACAGGCACTGACAGCGGACTTTTTCGACCGGATTACCTGCGCGCTGACATCTTGAATTGGAAGACGGTGGCAGAGGAGGTCGTGGAGCCGTGGCCCGGGGTCGTTCTGCACCGGTGTCCGGGACATACCGAAGGGCTGCTGGTGGTTGAGCTGGCCCTGCCGGTTTCTGGCACGGTGGTGCTGACAGGAGATCTCTTCCATGTGAAGGAGAACTACGAGGATGGGAAACCTCAGGGGTTTCTGATGAGGGATTACAATGTGTGGCACCGAAGTAGAGATTACGTGCACAGGTTGGTGCAACGCACTAATGCTAGGGTTTGCTTGGGTCATGAGAAGAGCTACTTTGACCGATTCCCGGAAGCCCCTGGATTCCTGGAATAATTTATAGCATTGCGTATGTGAATTTCGATGTCATGCTCTTGCACTCTGAACATGTATTTGATTTCATCGCCATTCAGATAGACTGTCAATATGACTCGATTTGGGTTAGTTTTCAATATCCTCACAGGTTATTATTATTTCGCGAGAAAGCCCAGACAGATTCATATGAGCGCCTGCTTTTAGCTAGATGTTATTTCTTCTGTTTGTTTTACAAAGCTTGATGGTAGGAAGCTCAGGAGAACATACTGCAAAATCTTGGGACCTATCCAGGTTATGTGTAGCACCATCTCGATTTGGGCACTAGAGCCAAAGGATAATTTCTTCTACATGTCTATGCTAATATCTGCAACCTATCTTTATGGTAACCATACATTTAATAAAAGGGCACCCGGGAGTATGTGTCTTGCACAACTACCTAAGGGTTCGCCTTCGCCACATGTTCATAAAATGCCTTGCCCTGGGCCTCGGCAATTTTAAGTTCCAGCTCAGTAGGCTGGCGAGAGCCATCGGCGGCCTGACAATAGACACACACACATTTAGGTCCACTCATTTTCATGATATGCTGGAGGAGGGACGAGCAAGGAAAACTTACAGCAAAGGTCCCGGCACCCCAGGGGCTACCACCATGGATCTCCTCGAGATTGGCCAGGTGAGCGAAAGTAGTCTTGTAGCCCAGCGGGACATAGATGAAGCCGTGGTGGGCCAGTGTGCTCATCGCTGAAAGACAGGTCGACTCCTGGCCGCCGCCTTGCACGCCAGTCGACACGAACAGCCCGGCGTATTTACCCCAGTAACCGCCAGTTGCCCAGATGCCCCCAGTGCTGTCCCAGAAGGCGCGCCATTGAGAGGGAAAGTTCCCGTACCGGGTGGGGATACCGAAGAGAACACCGTCGTACTCAAGAAGCTTCTCGGGCTGAGCTATAGGAACCGAGGACTTGGGCGGCGCGTTCATCTTGGCAAGAGTTTCTTCAGACAGAGTCTCCGGGATCCTGGCTGGTAAGCTACTGAAGGCGAGAAGAGCCCGAAGGAAAACGCAAATGTACAGTAAACTGAGGGGATACTTCTGCGAAAGGTGAACTCACTGAAAGAGATCTGCAGAGCCTCCGGCACTTGCGATGCCCTTCAGCTCGGCTTGAGCCAACTTTTCAATGTGGCCGTACATCGAATACTGATCAACACAAATACATAGTCAGCTTTGCCTTCCCTACAAGTCCATGTGAAGAGCCATACAAATACAATGGCGATTCGTGGAGCCATGGCGAATGTGATTCTTGGGATATGGGTAGATGGAAACCTGATTGAGAGCAAATGTGTGGGTGACAAGGATATAGGTAGGGATCAGAACAAGATATAAATACCCCGCTGCAATGCGGGAATCTTCCGCGCGGATACTTATTGCTACGCGTTCATCAGTTATAAAATCTTGAGTAAGGCCTGACAAATAGCCACTGTTCTCGCATCAGCTCCAAGAAAGGTGGGAGTTTAGTTAGAATTTGTAATCTGTACGTAATTATCTGGGAGACCTGCTTCTCTACTCTGCATTGATCACCGACAGGTTGTCTTGTGTCTAGGTTAATCCTTCGTTAGCTAAACCATGGGAGGGAAGTGAAGGGGACGAAGAGTCTATACTTCTAGGGCAATGGAGGACCCACTCCGCTTACTACGCGGAGACATCAGTCGGCTTTCCGGTATCGGATATGCGGTCTAGTACTCCGTATCACCGATGATGATATTCATACATAAACCTCTGGGCCAACACTTCCTTGATCTGATTGTGAACTTAATCGCGGCTCCTGATTCTCGCCCATTCTTCCCGTCATGCAGTCATATCGACAATACCGCGCAGTGGAAAGTGCTGTCCGGAAACAGCTCGAGGTCTGCCCTGATTGGAAGCAGAGGGTCATAGGACAAGGTGTTGAAAGGAACCAGCAGCATCAAACACCTCACGGAGCACTCCTGATGCCAGGCGTCAGACTGATCGACCATACCGACAACCATGGGAACCCACGGTCAGTCTTTCTTGTCGACTGGGAAAGCGAGCACGATCCGCTCAATCCACGGAAATTTAGCCTCCGCACCAGAATAATGGCAACGCTGAATGTATCTGCCCTGGCGTTTGCAGTCAGTGCATCATCGTCTATCGAATCCGCTGTGATTGCTCAAAGCAGCGCTGAGTATCATGTCAGTGAGGTGGTTGCTTCGCTATTCACCGCGATCTTCCTCCTCGGCTTCGCTGCGGGCTCGCTTGTCTCCGGACCTCTTTCCGAGATCCTAGGCCGCAACGCGGTCTACACGATCTCTACTTCCCTCTTCATGCTCTTCATCATGGGCTCTGGACTTTCCCCGAACATATCAGCCAAGCTTGTTTGTCGCTTTTTGGCCGGGGTGTGTGGCTGCCCGCCGCTGACTTGTGCCGGTGGCACGGTCGCCGATATCTGGGATCCACTGGAAAAAACACTTAGCTTTCCAGGCTATGCCATTCTCTCCTTCGGGGGTGCAATCCTAAGCCCAGTGGTCGCATCGTATATGGGCCAAAAGACACTGTCGTGGCGCTGGGTAAACTGGATTGTTTTGATCATGGCAGGCCTGGTTCTGAGTCTCATCGTGTTCCTCCAGCCCGAGACTTTCAGCCCTCTACTTCTCCGATGGAGGGCCAAACATTTGCGTCAGATCACAGGCGATCCTCGATTTCAATCTAAAATGGATCTAGACCAAACTTCGATCGTTTCTCGCATCGCTACAGCCTGCACACGGCAATTTACATTAGCGGTTCGCGAACCGATCATTCTTCTACTTGCGTTATACATGACCATTCTCTACATTGTACTCTTCACCTTCTTCGACGGCTATAGTTACATCTTTCGTGATGTGCATCATTTGTCGCAGCCATTGACGAATATTGTCTGGGTCGCCATGTACGTGGGCATTATGCTGGCCGCGTTCCTGGTGCCGCTGATGTATTGGAGACATCAGCAAGACATGCGCCCTAGCGCCCAGGATCATGACATGGAGAGATCCCTGGATGAAGCTAAATCCATCATTCAACCCGAGGATCGTCTCTGGTACGCCATGATCGGCGCTCCAGCTATTCCGATCAGTCTTTTTTGGATGGGATGGACAGACTATGTAAGTCAAGTCTTCCCTCCGACCGAAACTCTACATTACCTTGAGTTCTTCTTATTTTTCCATCTTTTCCCCTTTTTCTCATCGTTATCACCTATAAGGCTGGAATACGGAATAAAACAACTAATCGAAAACCCTCCTATATCACAGGAATCGATCTCAGTCTGGTCCCCGATCCTCGGCTCCTCTCTCTTTGGCTTCGGCAGTATCTGCCTCTTCATATCCTGTTACATGTACGTCATTGATGCGTACGAGGTCTACGCGGCCTCCGCACTGGGGTTCATGACTATCTCGCGCTATTGCGCTGCCGGGGGAATGACCGTGGTCGGGATTCCGTTCTACAAGAATATGGGCGTGCAGTGGACACTGACGGTTCTGGGGATTATCAGTGCCGTGATGGTCCCTGTGCCTTATGCGTTCTGGAAATACGGGACCGTGATTCGGGGATGGAGTCGGTTTGCTGTTTCAGGGAATTAGTTAGCCTTGTAGATGTAGTCATGGAAGGGAAATAAGGGGAAATGGGGACGAGAAGTAATGAGAATGATACATCCAACAGAAATACCTTGCCATTAAATTTTGGCTCCGGAATATATAGGAGCAAAAGAGAAATAGTACAGTTTCAGAGCTGTTTTTGAACTCCCTAGAGGTTGGTAGATCAACGAGGATCTTTCCTCGGAGAAGTATTATTCTTCTAATAGGCGCGGATCATTTATGTACAGTGTCAGGGTCATTCGCCAAAGCAGCCACCTCACGCTCAGCCTTGAGTATGGCGCTATTTCCCAGCCTGGCAAGCTCCCCTGTGAAGTTATCCAAGAACCGTAGATGAATCATTGGGCCGAGCGTGAGTGTTCGAATGGGAATTCTGCCGATCAAACTCGGAACATCTTGCAGCACGCTCACAAGATCCGCCATCGCAGGGTCCAATGGATTCTTGAGAATATTGCGGAAAAGCGTCAGGATGGCGGTAATGACGTAGAAGATGACAACCCTGTTAGGACAGAAAAAAAGAAAGGTCAGTATGAAATATGTTTTTTTCCATCGATCATGAGTGACACTTACCAAAAGCATTCACCCTCGACTGTGGGCAGTGTGGTTTGCAGAAACGAAAGGGTAGATCGGCTAGCACTAATAGCTAGGCTAATGCTTGAGCATATCCCGGGCCCGTCATGATGCCGCTCGCTAGCTTGGTGAATTATTGTAACACAGTGATAATAAGCCAGTCGAAGCATCACGGCCTGGGTATTGATATTTATATTCGTCGGCATCCCTTGAGAGAATTGCAACGGCGGCCGAATATCAGGATGTAGGCTTGTTCGCCACTGTTCCAACGCATGGTCCAGGTTACGGATATTTTCCAAGATCTCTGAATTCGGCTTTTGGCACGCGGCTGTCGAATAGAGAGCCTCGTATATATCTGCCTTGAGTTGGGAGAGGCGAAGATCCCAGGGATATAGGGGGAGCGTATCATCGTTAATCGATAAGATCTGGTCTTGTTGCAAATTGGAGTCCTGAAGCTCTTTGTAGTTTGGGGGAAGATCCAGGTTACAGAACACTCCCGAGATAGACGGGGGCTGTCCGTTCCGGAGGCAGATATCTTGGTCGAAGGAGTAGCAGAGCCAGAAAAGATCGCGTAGGTGGCATTCCGGCTGACTTTTGTTGTATGCAGCAGGAGTGGACACAGTGTGCGCACCAAGCTTGAATAATAAACGACTAGCAATTGACACGGAGACTGCGGCGCTTTGCAGATCGCCCAGAAAGTACTGGTGCTGTGTCTAATCATCATATTAGTTCAAGATGTAACCCTCGACATACATACTTGGCAGGGTTCAGCCGGAATCAACATACAAGCATAATCAGAGCCTGAAGACCATTGACAGTCATCTCATTGATGATTTGTACTGTGAAACTCTGGGCTGCCGCAGCATATGTCTCACAGTCAAGAACATCACCCAGATCATTCTCGAATCCAAATATAATCACCACCGACAGGAAAGCGTAAATGCAAGATTTGGCACTATCTGCACCGGGGCCCTGTGGCCCGTAGGCAAGATCCAATGTTTCAGCAAACAGTGATTTGCTAATCACCGGAAACACGAGACTTTGATATGAAGAACAGTAAATAGTAACGTATTGCTCAATAATCGGGCGAGCTGGGAGCTTCGGGATCTTTGAAGATGACCTGACAGGGCCAACTTTAGTCCACGGCAGCTCCATTGTGTTCAATTTATCCATGTCCACGGTCTCACCCGTGCGAGATTCAATCCACGCACGCCCTTCATCGGCAGTATGACGCATGCCGTTGAGATACATCAAGCCCAGATTGACCATTGAGATTTCTGGTATGTTTAGCCAATCAAACCATGCGGTGTCGAAGGATTTCACGAACTAGTAGATGACAGACATGGCTGGGTAGCAGGCTGCTTGCCCAAGGTGCCTTTGTCGGGGAGTTCTTGGTCACTCCCCTTTCTACACAATGTAGGTCAGAATCGATCGGTTTGAAGCAAGAGCAGGTATAATCGGATTAAAACGAATCGATACTCTGGGCATTATGGTAATTTGAATATACCTTTTCTTCGAATCCGAGACCAGCCGAGTATATGTGCACGCTAAATTATTGTGCAAGCAGTAGTTGCACTGTGGGTACTCGGCGTCACATTTGATCTTAGTTGTCGCTGTCAGTTGGCTGTATATATCCCCAGTTCCCTAGGTATGTATAGGTTAGGAGCTGGGCTGACCTTTTTCTTGCGGCATGAATCGCAGGCCGTCGCCCTTTTCGTACTAGATCGAGACTTTAGTGTTGGCGCCATTGATCTGCTAATAGGCTGATGACGTGAAGTCATCAATATGGAGTAAGACAGCAGGACTTGAGTCTACTCTGCAGGTAGCAGCCACTGCAAGAGTCAATTTTTAGCAGACGTCGGGACTGCCAGGGTCGGTATTATGTAAGCCGTCGCTGGCTGCCTGAGGCAGACTCGTGGTATACTATCCCCTCGTCCGTCCGGGAAGCACAATTAGCGTATTTTACTAGCGTATACATGGCAACACGTCCTAATTGGCTAATCATGGTAATGCTTCAGTAATCAGAAGCAGTGTAATTAATTAAGCCTAATTCGAATTAGCT